GCAAGAAAGGCAGGCTTGTTTGGAATACTATTCCGCAGGCTGTTCTTTGGTCCATTTGGATGGAAAGAAACAATAGAATTTTCTGTAATCAATCAAAAAGTCCAGATGAGATTGTGCAGAAAGTGGTGGGGAAGATTTGCTCCTGGGTGTCGGTGAATGAGGAGTTTAAAAAAAGTCAGAATGTTTCTCTCCTACTTTGTACTAAATCATGGATGTTCTTGTAATCTGTTTTGGGCCCAGGAAGATCTAGTTGGCCTGAGTCTTGTTGTAATCTGCTTTTTCTCTGAATAAAATTACTTTACCTTTTTCCAAAAAAAAAAGGATCTTTACCTCATAAAGTATTAATAGAAAATTTCAAGATTTCTCAAGTTGGCTTAGTAAAATTTTGTCCAATAGCCTAACTATTACTTCATTGATTAAATTTTCTAAGTTTCTGCACTAACTTTACATTTTCTCACTACAATAAGAATCTTTTTCCTATTGGCTGTTTAGTAAGAATGAGATGCAGGATACCTTTTTCTGATAAAGATTCCTTTTTTCAATGATCTGATGATCAAGAGAGAGTACTTATTTGCAATGACTCTAGTTTTCTAGTAATGTCTGCAATCTTCTTCAATTACACTATTTCATACGAAATGAGTGTCCTTGCATTATGTTTATAGCATGCCTAGCTCTTCTGATTTTTGTGACACTCATGTAAGATGCTAGTGTCCTATGTTGTTTGATGTACTGATGATTCCCAGATTCCCAAATCCTACATCTGACACTGATGGATGGTTTATTAACATCTATTGCACTTCATCTTATATTATGTTTCAGCATTTCTGTGCAATGTGCATGTACTTTATTTGTTGTTTCTCACTTCATCTATTGGTGAATGGTGTTCTTTTTTCCAGCTTAGTAACTATTCTTCCTTTGAGGGTGTTTTGTATTGCAAACCTCACTTTGACCAACTCTTTAAGATGACTGGAAGTTTGGATAAAAGCTTTGAAGGTGACTACCAGTCGACAACTGGCTTCTGCCATATCCTTCTCCTATGCTCGTTTCTCACTAATATGAACTCTTCTTATGTTCCTTTTTCAATTTTATTCTAGGTGCTCCAAAAGTTGCCAGAACAGACAGATCTTCTGATCAGGTACTCACAATGTCAAGTTGGGAAATATTTTTCTATCCCCATGCATGCTCTATTGTGACATTACTATTTGTCATAGTAAATTTCTTTTACCATGGATAATCTACAGGGTAATGCCAACAGCAAGGTTTCGAGTTTGTTTTCTGGAACTCAAGAGAAATGTGTTGCTTGTAAGAAAACAGTCTACCCAATTGAGAAGGTACACTCCATCCTTTTTCCCTTTTTTTGGGCTAGACCATCCGGGAAAAAGTTTTATGAACTCCATGTTAAATGTTCCTTTAAACCCCAAAGATCTTCCCTATTATATCAATCCATTTGAATAGGAATGGCAACAGGGCGGGGACCATATTCCCCATCTCCGACCCCAATCCCCACCGGGGTTAAAAGTGACCCTCCATTCCCGATCCCCAATGGAGATGGGTTCTTTGTCGGGGACCCGAATCCCCAAAATTTTTAAATTAAAATGATTTAAAAAAATAGTTTTACTTAAAATAATGGAAACTTTTAAAACATAAAAAATATTTTAAATATATTTTGATATAAATAATACAAATAATGTTATATATGTATATATTAATATATTTAATCGGGGTTGGGGCGGGGAATTCACTCCCCATCCCTGCCAAGGCAATCTCCATCTCCGACCTGATGGGGTCGGGGAAGCCAGGTACCCAATGGAGATGGGGAAATTTTCTATCCCTACATTTGAACAGTTCATACAGTTGTAAAACTAAAACATTTATAGAGTTAAGAACAAATACATGCTGCCAAAACTTGTCTTCATGTGTCTTCAGTTGGCTGAGTTGTTGATGATTTCCACTTCATACCCTTGATCTCTATTCACATGCATATGGATTCAGTCTTCTCCTTTCTTCCAGTCTGAGTTTATGGGTGGTTTAGAGTTGCTCTGTGCAAGCTTAGACTGGCAAGAATGGGGGACTGATTTCTAGGAGACTATATTTTCAAGCTATGAAAAGTTTCCTCCCCTGGAGAGTTTTAATTGATATATAGTAATTGCTAACAAATCTCTCAGAAAACTTCTTCCTTAAAAATGTTTATATTTCTTGCCTCCAAGAACTCCAATCAACCTACGAGACTTTCTACACCGTAGAGGCCACATAAGTCTTACAGTTCAGAGAACAATCCATTATCTTGCTCATAAAAATCATATTGTAAAACATTTAACCTTATTGTATGTTTGAACCTGCTTATTTGCATGTGCTTTTTTGGTTAAAAGTGTAGACTCATCAATAAATTGTCTACAAAGATTTGGTTCATTTTTTAAAATGCTATTGCCTTAATAATTTTATCATCTTGGCATAATTTGTTGACTTTAGAAAGTTATGGTATCGAATTAGTGGAGGCATGGTTAGTTTCTATGGAAGTCAATTTCATTGAAGTATTGTATTAATATCAAACAGTATAAGGTCCTGTACAAAGAGAAGCTGTACAAGAAAGACCAGAATGAGCCCCCCAAAAAAGTCCACCCTCAAAAAAGAACCAGAACAAAAAACATCTCTAAAAACATCAGGCAAAGACAACCAACTCCTAAGCTCTTCCACTATAAAGTTAATTACCCCAGCCTCAGACTTGGCTTTCTGCTCAAAGACCCTATTGTTTCTTTCCAACCAGATAGCCCACATAACTGCAGAGGGAATAACAGACACTTGTTTTCCTTCTTTAGCATGCCTGGGACTCTCCACCAAGATAACAAGGAGGAGACTGACTCTAGCCAGCACTGGCTCAGATTAATTGCCATGAGAAAATGCTGCCGAACAACTGTTGTGAAATTACAATGAATGAACAGGTGATTTGACGACTCAATTTGCAAATTGCACAAAGGACAAAGCAAGTCTGGCAAGATAAAACCTCTTCTCAACAACTCCTTGGCTTCACTTAGTTTAACAATTTTTGTTGATGATCTGTCTAGGAAATCCAACACGTTCAAAATCTTGTATTAAGTAGCCATTTTTTTTGAGAAGCAATTAGATGTTGCATTTATGATTCAATAATAGCATGTACAAATAAGAACCATGTACAGTGAGAAATTATACACGTATGTCTGACTTGTCTCTTCTAGTCACCATTTGAGTACCCATCATTCACTCTATTCATAATCCATTTCCACTTTATAATTGCACAAATGTCCATCTGCAAGATAACGTCCTCATAGTGGTATCTATACTATTTATATCATGTGCAATTTATTCTACAAGCATCACTGTGGTACCCAATACGGGCATCCTAGAAACATATGCCATTTGGTATGTGGAGTATACCTGAAAAGATGTAATTCCATTCTTTACTGCCAATTGTATACACATTATTTCCTGCTGTATCTATTGGCTAGTTATTTGAGAAATTTGTTCCTGCTATTATATCCTCACCTAGGAATGGACTTCCCTTTATTCTTGAAGAATAATTGTATCATAACAAACTTGAAATGAAAACAAGGAATTATTTCAGTGTAGCATGTTTTTTTAGTAAAGAAAAGCTCTGCAGATGTGGGTGAAACATTTGACTTTGGAACCTCGGGCTCCAGTTGACCTTATCATTAATTAGTTGTCTGATCCAATGAAATATTCTTTCTCCTTTGGAGGTAAAAAAATTTCAACTCGTATTGTCTCTCAGGTAGCAGTTGATGGCACCTCATACCATAGAGCATGTTTCAAGTGCAGCCATGGGGGATGTGTGATCAGCCCATCAAACTACGTTGCTCATGAACAAAGAATCTACTGTAGGCACCACCATTCTCAGCTCTTCAAGGAGAAGGGGAACTTCAGTCAACTTGATAAGCATGAACAAATGAAGGGGTGACTGAGAACACAATCTGAGTGATGGATTCAGAATCTGCAAATTCTTCTGTTGGTGCAGTGGTTTATGTTCCCATTGTAGCCATTGGGTGTGACACTGTAAGATCGCATTCAATGTTTGGTAAACATGAGTTGGTAACAGTCATGGAAGTATATAAATTGAGGTATGGACCTAGTTTTATATTTTCAGGTCTAAGTTCAACATCGGGAGCTTCAGTTGTTATTCTTTGAGTGTGAAGGTTTGAGTGAACAATAATTATAGGAGGTTCTATTCTTATAATAAATCGTGGTAATGGAAGGTCTTGCCTACTTGGGCCTTGTGAGTTTTAATAGGATTTTGTCATCCCTGGCAGTGAGTTTTATTACTATAAATATGAAGTATAAACTTGGTACTTTTATTTTCTTCTTCCATTAACATTGATGTAATGCTGCCTGTTTTTATTGTATGTTGTCATATTAGTTGGCGGTAGCTCACGTCTTGACCCTACAGTTGGCTCATCAATGCACATTGCTCATTTCAAATTTATCTTGTATTTAAAAAAGAAAAAAGCTTTCTGATTGATCTACCAGAGACACAGGACGTGTACAGATGCTACCAATACAGATTCCAACAGTTTGTCCTCTCAAAAGTATGATCTATCAATGACAACATACAAGTACAAATATGTTTGAGATGTCCATACAGAAATCTATGAAGACTTGCACCAGCATGAACGACCTTATGAACGAAGAGTTGCCATCCTTTAACATAAAACGAAGTCCAATTCCGTAGCGTTTCTATTTGTTAATGGTAAATGGAAATGGCATCTTACCCCAAAAATAAAAATAATGGCAATGAAACCTGACCAAAACTGCAAGTGGATCAGATTTGGGATCAAATAGGATCCATTAATATTTGGACTCCTTTTGAATCTTTCTATTTCTATCGGTTTTAGATTGGATTCGGATGATATAGAAGCCTCATTCATTTTTTGGTACCTGGGCTCAAGGTTCTAAATATCGACACATCTGATATGCTGGTAGGGGTGTATCGGTCTTTTTTTCTTTTTTTTCAAACGGTTCAGGGGGGCCGGTTTAAGGCTCCTCCACCCCCGAACTGGTAAGAACCCCGATACATCCTCTGTAGGGGCATATCGGGGGTGCTCTCAATACGATACGTATCGGCCAATACGGGCCATTACTTTCAACCTTGCCTGGATTACGTGTTTATCGGGCAAGTAATTCTCGAGCAAGAGTTGTCCGAGTAAATTTCAGTGCCAGTGTGCAGTGTCATTTCCACTTACTCAGGTAAAGATGGAGGTGGAAGATGATTAAAGTTTTTGGCAGGTGGGTAAACAACTTATCCACCCTCCGAAAAATTCGCTTTATGCAGAACCCATTATAATGGTGCTTGAACGCCAGATCTTGTTGGCTGTTTGGAAAAAACAGCCTGGACTGTTTTGGGAGTCCCTCTACATGACACCTTAGCTAATTCAAATCCCCATTTGCCTTTTTAATTAAAAATGTATTGAGTGTAAATATAATTTTATCCACTCATTACGAGATGTCATTCATAACAGGCTCCCAAAACAGCTGACTGTTTTTTACAAACAGCCAGACCTAGCACAACCACTATTACTGAAACGTTTTGATTTATGTGCATATTACATTTGGGGAAATGTTAAATTCATATTTTCCTCAACGTTTGCATTTTTTGAAATTAAATACTGATGTGGCACACTTTATTTGAGGTGGAAAGCAATTTCATGGAGTGTTATTTGAAATGCCCACAAAACATCCAACTAAATTAAAAAAAAAAAGCAAAAAACGGTTAAAAGGGCGTTTTTCAAATAAATACATTTACCTAAAAAAACGCCTATCATGAAGCTCCCACAGAAACCAAACATACGCTCAATCTCAACAAGGAATGGGCCAAAATTTTGGTGGTAAGCAGCGAACCAAAGGCTCGGCTTGTAACCACTAGAGAGTAGAGAGTGGTCAGTGGATACCCGGAATAAAAGGACTGATCACTTCTATTCTGATCGAGTTTCGAAGCATACAAAAAACTGTGTATCGTTTTTCCCCCATTGGCCATTCACCATTGCAATTGTAAATGCTTGTAGTCTCTTGTTTTAAAACCAAAGGCTTCCTCAGAATAAAGCCCTTCAACATCCAAACTCCTCTCCTTTTCTGTTCATCAACTACCTTTCCCGCCATCTCCAAAGAATCTAATCCAGTTTCATTTCTCCAACCAAACCGCACAACACTCTTCCGACAACTAAAACAGCGACCGACACTCTCTCAACTCAAAGAGACTCACGCCCAAATCATCACCCAAGCCTTCTCTCAGGACATTTCTTTTGTTGGCTCCTTAATTCGTTCTTATACCTCCTCCAACGACCTCGGCTACGCTCGTGTCTTATTCAATCGGTATCCTTTTACTTCACCACCTACTCTCCTATGGAATCTCATGATCCAAGCTTACTCCAAGACACTCAATTCTCAAGAATCACTTCATCTCTTCCGTCGGATGCTCTCGCTCGATGGACCCATTGTGCCAGTCCCCGACAGCTACACTTTCACTTTTGTGATTACGTCGTGTTCCCATCAACCGTCGGCTGTGGAGGGACAAAACACTCATGGGCGGGTGATAAAGAGTGGCTTTGAATCCGATCTGTTTGTGGGGAATTCATTGGTTAATATGTACTCAGCCTTTATGAAAATGGAGGATGCCCAGAAAGTCTTCAATGAAATGCCCCAGCGAGACGTCTTCACATGGACTAGTCTCGTGAGTGGGTATGCAAAGAGTGGAGAGATGGGCGCAGCCAGTGAATTGTTTGCGAGGATGCCTGAACGGAATGATGTTTCTTGGGCTGCTATGATTGCGGGGTTTGTTGGAGGCGCGAAATATAATGAAGCACTTAAATATTTCCATGACATGTTGTTTGATGCTAAGATGAAGCCTAATGAGGCGGTTCTCGTCTCTGTTTTGTCAGCTTGTGCTCATCTTGGGGCTTTAGATCAAGGGAAGTGGATTCATGTTTATATCGACAAGACTGGAGTGCCACAGAGTTCAAACATTTCTACTGCTCTCATTGATATGTATGCCAAGTGTGGAAGGATAGATTGTGCCAACCAAGTTTTTAGTGGAATTTCTAAAAGAGACGTGCTTACATGGACAAGCATGATTTCAGGTTTATCGATTCATGGGCTTGGTAAGGTTGCTCTTAGGATGTTCTCTCAAATGTTGGGGGAAGGCATCAGACCTAATAACATTACTCTACTGGGAGTTTTAAATGGATGCAGCCATTCAGGTCTAATAGATGAGGGCTGTAAAATCTTTTACAGCATGGAAAGCCTGTGGGGAATTGCTCCAACGATTGAGCACTATGGATGTCTGGTTGACCTTCTCGGTCGGGCGGGACAATTGGAGCGTGCATTTAAAATTGCCAGAGATATGCCTATGAATCCTGACATTGTTATTTGGAGGGCCCTACTTAGTGCTTGCAGAATCCACGGTAATGCTAGTCTTGGGGAACAAATTATAGATTACATATCCAAAATGGATCCTATTGGTCATGGTGGTGGTCATGTCCTTCTGTCAAATTTGTATTCATCTCTAGGTCAATGGGAAAGAGTTGATAGAATGAGGAAGCTAATGAGTGAAATCAGGAGTGATTATAACCCGGGTTGTAGCTGGATTGAAAATGTGGATAGAGATACATCAGAAGTTGGAGGAAGTTTTGAGAAGGGCAAGTGCAGAAGGTGGATATATTCCCAGCACTAAGCCAGTTTCATTTGATTTGAGTGATGAGGAGAAAGAGCAAGCAGTGTCGTGGCATAGTGAGAAATTGGCCATTGCCTTTGGGCTGATGAATACCATGGCAGGGAGCATCATTCAGATAGTGAAAAACCTAAGGACATGCGAAGATTGCCATTCAGCAATGAAGGCCATTTCCTGGGTTTTTGGTAGAGAAATTGTTATGAGAGATCGATCTCGATTCCACATTTTCAAAGAAGGAAAATGTTCTTGCAAGGATTATTGGTAGGGATTCAGATCATGCTGAACACCTGATGCATGAAGCTGCAATTGAATATCCTTGGTAGGATTGGAGATCATCTATACACACAAGTGCAAGAAATTACAGATGAAGGGAAGTTTTTCCAGCCAAGAGATGGCTACTTTAGCTGTTGGGGAAGGACTTTTTTTTGTCTCTGAAGGTCAAAGCTCTTAAATAGCAAAATTTGGAAATAAAATCAGGCATAATCAGGAATAACTGCATGTTTTAGTTGGAAGCATCTAAACGTAATTGCACTTTACCGGTTCAAAATTTGCATAAAGAAAATGCACTGGTGCAAGGTGCTGGCATCCATCTCATCATGGGACAGTTAAGTCGGCTACTTCTGGTTTATGACTGGCTGACCTATGTGAATATATACTCCCTTTTTTGTTGAATAAATAGACTATTGCCTTGTAGTTGTGAGGTCTCTCCCCATAATTTGTCTCTTGTTACATTACTCAAGAGATCTGACAGATGTTATCTTGAATTTTAACACACCCAAAGAAGAAAAAGGAAAGGGAAAAAAAACAGGAGGAAAAAGACCATGTTATCTTTGTCTTGTTTACCTTATTGTACACTGCAGTACATGTTTGGCTCATTATAGAGTATGCAAGTAAAAGTGTAAAACTGTCAAACGATCTTTAATCATCCAATGCACACAATTGGAAGGATGGGATAACTGGATGATTTTGCAGGACCCCAGCAAAACTTATTGTGAATAAATAGTCTCTACCTAGCCATCAAATAAATAAAGAGTCTCTAGACTCCCTACCTTTAATGACTAGAGGTGCATGTGCAAGCAGCGCTGGGTTAGGTCGGGTTGAGATCAAGCCTAATCCAATTACTTGTTGAACCCAATCCAACTCAATCTTTTCAGGTTGGGTTTGAGTTGGCCCGGTTTTTATACTTTGTTTTGCTAGGATGTTGTTATTTCTTAGACTTAGAATCAATGGATTAAGATTCACTGATTTTAGCATTATTACATGTACGAAGACAAGCCTACAATGCTTTGAGACTACCATATTTAATTATGTCTCAGGAGAATTTTTTCTACTACAAACTTAAAAATGCTGATGCTTAGGCTATCTTTGGAAAGATTATAAATACAAATACGCAGAGTGTAAATACAAAAATACACGGTTTAGAAATACCATATTCATGGTTAATATATCAATATGCTCAATATCTGAAGTGTGGGTATTGGTGCAGATCGGTAATGATGATATTTTATGTTTTGTTTATTATTATTGTTATTTTATAATGATTAGAGGGATCAGCTGATCAGGGATGTCTACTCAAGGTTTTAAAAGTTGGAAAACATGTCTATATCTGCGTATTTATGTGCGTCTGGATGCATGAAACAGATACAATATCTCAAGTTTAAATCAGCCCCCACAATGTCCCACAGTACATCCCCGCCGTGTATTAAGTTATGGAGTCGAATCTATATTTTAACATGCTGAAAGCTGAATTAGTTATGGAGTCGAATCTGATACAACTTGCGAGTTGGATTTATATTTTTTAATCCTGACTCTAACCGAATCAATCCAACCTGACATTTTTTGTTTTCAGAAGACAGGGTTAATTAAAAGCAAAGCTCATGCAAACACATAGGAGATCTGGACCCTGTTTCCGGTCCATTCCCTCTTAAGACCTGACCTAATAGCAGAGATCAATGTCTAGCTGAGATCAACCCAACCTAAGTACCTAACTGACCCAACATGAGTTTTTGTATGGATTGGGCCTGAATTTTCAAGCTACGGACTGAGCTTGGGCCAGAAAACTCGCCTTGACCTAAAGTGGGGTTGAGCTTGGGTTGAGGCCTCAAGTAGCCTGAGTATGATTCAAGCCCGGCCCGACTCAATCCAAATTTCTTTTTTTTTTCTAATTATGGATATATGTTTGCATATATAATTTTATAAATGAAATTTGTAAATATTTTCAATTAATTTCACTCTTAAATTGGATCATAAAATCCATTAAAATATGAATATATAAAAATATATATACAAATTATTTCAAACCCGATCAACCTATCAAGCTCGATTATAATGACTCGATTCAGCCCGAACCTGACACCAACCTGAATTATGCTTTTTTTTTTTAAACATCAACTTAAATGGATTAAGCTCAGATTGGGCTTAGGTTGATGAATTTGGACTTAACCTCGGGTTCGACCAAGGCACCGAGCCCGAGACTTGAGTACATATATAACACGGACATGCTCTTTGAGCTTGCCTTCTGTCTTTGGGTTTGATTAATTCGTTTTGAATTCGGTATTGTATTCTAGCTTGTCTTGCAAGTTGCAACGCTGATAAAGACAAAGAACCAAATGGCGCCAAAGACGAAGAAGAAGGAGCTCCCGCATTCATCCGATCAACCGGGAATGTTTGATGGAATGGTGGTCTTCTTGGTCGAAAAGGGAGTACAAGCACGAAGGCTACAGGTAGTTCTGCAACCTTCTTTAATCTATTTCTGCTTCTACGTTGTGAGAGCAGAACCATCTGACATTCGATACTCCTCATTATTTTTGTTTTCTGTTGTCATCTACTCTGACTTCACTTAGGATCGCTGGCAATAAAAACGAAAACCCATGTGTCCGTTTTGCGAAATTCTTAGTTTGTAGCTTCCTGACTCCGCCTTTTATTATCTACTTCCCAATATATCTTGAACAAACTATTGTTGTTTTATTATCTAATTCCCAATTTCTACACTGTTGTTTACTTGTGATGAAACTTCCATGTTTTTTTCCTACTTAGGTAGTCTGTTTCTTAACGGTCGATAAATGTAATTAGAGAGCAAGGTGCCTAGTTTAAGTACGTTTCACTTTGAAGTCTCATTTTCTTATGATGGGCTCTTATTTCGATAAATAAATGTTCAAGGAAAGGCTTTCCTATTTCAATAAATTTGTGCTTATCTTGTTCTCATTTTCTTTTTCTTTGTTTCTTATGTCAAGGACATAATATATTTTTTTAGTTTATTATTTCCGAACCGATATTTCTCTCTAGATTTGGAAGCAGAAATTGGTGCAAATGGGAGCTACTATTGAGGATCGCCTTTCAAAGAAGGTTACCCATATTTTTGCAATGAACTCAAAAGACCTTCTCCAACAAGTGGACAGCGAACACTTAAAACGCTTTAAAGGAGTGAGTTCATGTCTTTATTGTCCCAGCAATTTCTTGGTTATAGAACTGCTTAATTATTTGATTGTTTTTTTTTGGTACCTATGTGCATTTTCAGGTTTTGATTATGATGCAAACTAGAATGGTGAATACTAACAGTGGTATTGACTCCAATAATCTATTCTAACAGTAATGCACTTCTTTTTGATATTTTCTCAGGAATGGTTTGATGTGATTTTGAATTATTATATCATTTATCAAAATAGATTATTATATCAGTCACTTATATTGAAGTCTACTTATTAACAGTTGAGAGACGGGCTTACTTTTTAGACTCAACTACCTATGCTTGAGATTTACAAATTTCTGGAGAATGCTGAACATCTCTGGCCTTGAGGGAGCCTTTTACCATTTGATGCTTAAACACAAATTCATAAGAACCTTCTTCCGTTTTCAAATTGGAACATTTGCAGCATGCAGCATCAGCACCTAGTTCGTTCAGTATTCTCAAACACAACCCATATCTGTGACGTACTTGAGTCTATACATTGAAATTAGGGATTCTTTTTAAGATCCAATCTATTTATAATGATGATATTATTCTATATAATAGCATAAGTATTTTCATTTAATTGTTATTCTATGCTGTATGCTTGTTTAGTTACTTGTAAAGGCCAATATCCAATATTGGTCTCAACCATCTGAGGTCTTGGGAGAGGTGGATATGGACCTAACCTCTGACTTCAGGTGATACCAATTTGGTTGCTGCAAATAAAATCTATTATTACATGACTCTTATAGTAGTGAAGCTTGCTATACAAGGTAAGTAGCAAACGAATAGTCAACCTACTGAAACTAATAATATTCCTTCCACCACCAATGAACCTAGGAAGCCTTTTCTATATATCCTTTTTTAGTTGTAGACATAGTTATCAAAATCTTATGGTTTATGATATGATTCATGATTTGAATCATGAGTCCCAAGGGTTTTGGCTCAAATCTTATGTCTGAATTCTGAACCCTTTTGTTCAAAAGTCTTATGGTTGTTGTTTGAATCCTATAACTCAACTCATGGATCTTATAATATATACAGTTCATGTGATTTGGATCAATTCAATTAAGACTTAGTTCTCTACTTTGTCATTTCTTTCTTTTATTTTTTTCAAGAGACTCTTGTTTTGAAGTCCTTTACAGAAAATGATTTTTAGGTTATTTAAGACATTTTAGAGACACACTGAATTCATTTTCCATCATTTGTAGGTTAAAGAGTCATTGTATGTGGAGTAGTTGACTTTCAAGTCAGACTTGATCATACATCTTAGGCTTCCAGTGTACAAGTAGTAAGCTCTAATACTTTATCGTTTTAAGTACATATATGGTAGACATGGATTAAAAATAGGGTAAATCACTTATATATATATATCATTTTTAAGTAATATCTAATTTCATTTTTGGTAAGTTTTTATAATGCAGAAATAGTCTTATGGTTTACAATACGGTTCATGATTCAATTTGATTCTACTTTCTCTAGAATTTACAATATGACAACAATTTTCAGAACATTGTTATGGGCATTTTATGAGATAATCACCCACAGAGGGATCCACTTCAACATTTTTCATTCCTTCTATGATTTGTCTATCTTAATGCTTACTATTGAGTATTAGTTTTTTCTCAAGTAATTCATCCAAAGGAATTGAGGTCATATAGTTACTGTCCTGTGTAGAATGTACTCCTCTACCAGTGGCTTGAGGACAGCTTGAGATCTGGAGAAAAGGTGGCAGAGGATTCATACAATCTAAATTTGGATTCAGAAGAAGGTAATGATCCTGAAAAATCTTTAGAAGGTATCTGTTCAAAACCAACCAAGGAAAACAATTACAGTGATGAGAAGTTGCCACATTGCAAAAGGATCAGATTCCTTTCAGATGATTTAAAAGTTGTAAATGAGCAAGATAGTAGTACAAGTCCAGTATCTTCTAATCCACATGCCCCTGTTGCTTCAAATAAAGATGTAAGATTTCCTTCTGGTTCTATACACCTTTATGTGCTTTTCCTACATTTAAAGTTCTTTTATAATTTTATTGGTTCATTCATTTATTTTTTCTTTGGGGGTGCAGGGTTGTTAAAAGAATTGTATTCTTGCACAATGGGTTATTCTACATGAATTCTGTTTGAAAATCATTATAGCTGTAGATTGCATTGATTTTTCAGTTATACTAAATTAAGTGCTAAAAATTTTATGATTAGGTCAATACTTCAGAGCTAGCCTTGTGCTATAATCCACCTGATTTAAACAGGAACATCACTGAAATATTTGGAAAGCTTATAGACATATACAGAGGTAAGAATAAGTTGAATTATCTTTGCCATTTATCTGTCTTTCAGTTCTAATATCCGGGGATTCAATACATTGCGGCTATTTTTCCTGCAAAAAGCGCTAGGTGATGAACGGAGGTCATTTAGCTATTACAAGGCTATTCCGGTGATTGAGAAGTTGCCTTTCAAAATTGAAAGTGTGGAGCAAGTAAAACATTTGCCAGCAATTGGGAAATCACTGCAAGATCATGTATGTGGAAATGTTCTGGTTCAAATTTATACTTTCCAATGTGCTTTACCTTCATTGTGGTCAGCTGCAACTGGTATTTTTATTTGCTTTCTTATAAAAAAATGATTCTATTTGGAGAAAAGTAAAATTCTAGTTTTTTGTATATTCCCATTGTACTGATCCTTGGTGTACATGGTGCTAATATGATCACATATTCTCATATCAATACAGTACTGTACCATTTCAGGAAAAAAAAAAGAAAGGTTCTATATATTGTTTACTATGATGTATGGACATGGATAGCAATTGCATGGACACATCATATTTGTACATATATATTCATATAAATGGCAAAATCTTGGCTCTGGGGCTCGGGGAACAGAAGGCCTCAGACTGGTCTCTGATCCCATGAGTTTATTGTCTGTACTCATCAAAGATGATCAGGATCCACTATTCAGTGGTTCTTGCCTTGAGGATTAATGGATCCAAAAATCAGCTTAAACTCTTATCCAAAATACGCATTTTTGGACCAAATATTTGGATTGTGGTCAAACATTCTATTTTATACTCTTAGAATGTTCTGGAAATGATGCATGACTCAAATATATAAATACATCTGTAATGCTGATTCTTGGTATATGCTCTCCTAGGTGGGACCCGTCCAATGATAGGTCCTCATCTTCTGAGTATCTGCCAACTGGTAAGTTATGAGGGCCCCAGGCTCTCCAATTGCAACCTGCAAACCTCTGTCTCCAGACCTGAGCCATTCTTCATGTAAATATACACACATGTATATTAGTATATATGTACCAAAAAAAGTATATTAGTATACAGAGACATATTCACATACACATAAACACACTTACACAACATCATGCATACAGTGCATAATATGTATATATATTGATAAAGTAAAAAAGTAAAATTCATTAAAAAAGAAAACAAACGTTTACAACCTAGGACGGTGTTGAGAGAACACCTCCAAAGGAGCTAAAAGAAACATTAAGCAGCCAAAGGCCCTCAAACAAACAGACCCTCAAAGATCAAGCACCCCCACCAGCCCAAGATCAAATAAAAAAACAGCAAAAACCCTCGACCAGAACAAAAAGCAGCTTCAACAACAAGCCAGCTGAGCCCAACCCAAAACATAGCACAGCCACGAACCTCCAAACCTCACCCTCTCAACCACATCACAACCCACCTCATCCTTTCCTTCACCCTTCTCTTGTTCATTTCCTGCCTTCTATTTTGTTCAAATTGCTTGATTGCCTTCCTCACCACTGATTCTCCCCATAAAAAGAAAAGACCAAGAGATTTCCCAACTGCCACCTGTCTATCTACTAGCTTCTCAATATCGATTTTTCCTTTCTCAGTGCTAACATTCTCAAAATCAGCTTTATTCCCTCCTATCTCCTTCTCCCCCTCTCTGATTTCCTCTCCTGTCAATTCCTGGTCACTTCCGTTTCTCTCACCCTTCCCCCCACTTTCAAAAGGTTTCTCCTTCAATACCTCCATCCCTTCCTCTCTCTATTCCTCCTATTTTCTTACAGGAAAACTCATCCTCTTCCTTTCCTCCCTCTCCCCTAAGGAAGCTTCCTTATCTTGATTACTACACCTGATGTCCTGAGTCTTCCTACCTGCATCAGCTTCTAAACTATTTGCAACAATCCTTTCCTTTTGTAAATTCTCTTAAATCTGCAGCGTGGACCATTCCCGATCAGTCCTTCCTTGAGACAATTAAAGACCTTGGTGATGGATAGGAATTAAAGAGGTGAAGAAAAGTAAGAAAAGGTGAAGAAAAGGATAGAAGAAAGAAACAGAAGAAGACAGGAAGAGAAAGAGAAGGGAAAGAGAAGAAAAGAGGGAAGACTAGAAAGGAGAAATCTGTTCTCTTCTCCTTACTGTCGACCCAGGTTGTATTAGCATTCTACTAAAGCTGAAATGACTACAATACTCTTAGGAAAGTTACAGCAGATATAAGAGAGAAAGAATAATGTGAAAAAGACAATACTGCCCCTGTTAACTACTTCTAACAATTCTAACAGTAACCATTAAGGATGGGAGATTATAATCATTATATGTTGTGTCATGCCTATAAATTGGTTTATATTTATTTTCACATATGTTCTTTATTCTCATTGAAGAGTAAGATGAGGCAAAGGATTACTTTGAGATATATGTAGATCAGTTTTTGAGTCTTAAAATGCAATTATGTGAACTTGGGGAAGAGATTAAATTCTGGATTCTGAGGTTCCTATAAGACAAAAATATTGGAATCATATTCACAGAATTGGTCTTGTTTAGTGTTAGAATGCTCGAGTCAGGGGTATTTTGGTCATTCTGGTGTATCTTATTGAAAGTGAAATGTCTATTGTATCTGAGTTTAAGTTATGTGTCCCATCTTCTATGAGGGACAAAATTGTTTTTCTTGTAACTCAAGTTTTTCATGAATAAAAGTCAAGTGGGTCGGCTAGGAGAGTGACTTTTTTGAATATCCTCTCTTCTAGTTTGGCTGAACACTCTTCTCCTCTCCTTCTTCTTCTTCTTTTTCTTTCTTTCTTCTTTCTTCTTCTCTACTTTGACCTAGAAACAACTAGGGTTTATTCACATGGTATCAGAGCATTAAGGTCTGGTGTTTGTTTTCTTGCTGCTGTCTTCTTCCTGGGTTCGCCGCCAGCTTCACAGTAGGTTTCATCATCCTACAGCTGATCTGATTGAAGACTCGATAAAGGGCTGAAAAAGAGTTGTCGTTTTGAGGGCCTGGAGGTGAGAATGCCTCTGGCCAGTGCTGTGGTGGTTGTTGAAGTGGTATACTAGACCCTCTATTCAGTGTATGAAGAGGGCTGGTCGTATACAGGTATGAACACTGCTGTCGTGTGTTCAGAAATGGACTGTGAATGCTGATTTTTTTTGTGTGCTTTGAAAGTTAGTTGTTGTGGTGCTGGGTGAAACTGATACACATATCAGTCATGTTTTTTTT